GTATTTTAAGTCCTCTTCTCTTTCAGCAAGCAAGGTTGCATCATCTGCATATCAAAGGTTGTTAATGAGTCTTCCTCCAATCCTGATGCCACATTTTCCTTCCTATAACCCAGATTCTCAGATTGTTTGCTCAGCATACAGATTGAATGAATACAGTGAAAGAATACAACCCTGGCACACATCTTTTCTAATTTTAAGTTGTTTTCGGTGTTTCCTTATTCTGTTTGAACAACTGCCTCTTGGTACATGTACAGGTTCCACATGAGCACAATTAAGTGTTCCAGAATACTAATTCTTCACAGTGTTGTCCGTAGCTTGTCAGGATCCACACAATCAAAGGTCTTTGCATAGTCAATGAAGCACAGGTCAACATCTTTTTGGTATTCTCTTCTTTCAGCCAAGATCCATCTGATGTCAGCCATGATATACCCTCCTTCACATCCTCTTATGAATCCAATTTGAACCTCTGTAACAGGTTTACAATAGACCCCCAGAAACAGACATGACTGAGAACATGACTTTTATAGCACCTTAGCCATAAACCCTGTTCTATCCTTGTCCTATGATCATTCTGAAATAAACTGAAGAGCATGTATGCTTGGAATTATGTACCAATCATGCTACCCCACACATATATCATCCACCCATTCCTCTTAAATCCCCACTCTTAGATATCCTGCCTTTGACTTCCTGATTGATTTCAGGCCAATTACAATTTGGGAACCTTTTGTTCCTGCTTCAACTATTCAAAAATGTTTTATTTCTCAGTGTCTGGTGGAGTGGCCATTTCACTCTGAATTTTCATATCTTCCCCATTTGGATTGCTTTGTCCCTCTGTTGGTTTTACTTTAAGCAAAGTCTGTGATGTTGCTCTATGACAACACAACAGATAATTTAATCCTTCTCAACTTCAGTTTCATTGCCCATGAAATGGACATACTGTCCTCGGGGATTGTCATGAGGAGTAAATGAATGAATGACATTTTTCTCAGCAGTTCCTAGCACTCTGTAGGCACTCACCTGTAGTTTGCAAATGTTAGTAGTTGTTGAGTGCCATAGCATCAGTTCTGACTCATGCTGTCCTTGTTAAGTGCGGTCCAATTGGATCTGACTTATAACCACCCTGTACAGGGTTTCTAAGGAGTGGATGATAAGATTTGAACTGCCAACCTTATGGTTACCTGTTCAGTGTTTATCCTACAGCACCACAGAAGGGCTCTATGTTATTGTTGTGAAGTACCACTGAGTCATTTCTGACTAACAAAGACCCTGTATAGACTTTACAAGGAGTGGCTGGTGGGTTGGAACCACCAACCTTGTGGTTAGCAGTCCAGTGTTTATCCTACAGTGTGACATCAGAACTCCATGATAATTGTTGTTGTTAGGTGCCATAGAGTCGATACCGACTCATAGCAACCCTATGCACAACAGAATGAAACACTGCCTGGTCCTGGGCCAACCTCACAATTATTGCCACGCTGGAGTCCACTGATGCTGTCACTTGGCTAATCCATCTCATTGGGTGTCTTCCACTTTTTCTCTGACCCTCCACCTTACCAAACATGACATCCTTCTCCAGTGACTGGTCCCTCCTGACAATATGTCTGAAGTATGAGAGATGAAGTTTGGCCATCCTGGCCTCCAAGGAGCACTCTGGCTGCACTTCTTCCAGCACAGATCTGTTGGTTTTTTGGGCAGCTCATGGCACTTTCAATATTCTCCTCCAGCACCATAACTCAAATGCATCAGTTCTTCTAAGGTCTTCCTTATTTACTGCCAACGTTCACATGCATATGAGGTTATTGAAAATACCATGGCTTGGGTCACGTGCATCTTAGTCCTCAAGCTGACGTCTTTGCTTGTCAAGACTTTAAAAAGGTCTTGTGTAGGAAATTTGCCTAATGTGATACGCTGTTTGATTTCTTGACTGCTGCTTCCATGAGTGTTGATAGTTGATCCAAGAAGAATGAAGTCCTTGACAACTTCAATCTTTTCTCCATTGATAAGAATGTTGTTTATTGGTCCAGTGGTGAGGATTTTTGTTTTCTTTACATTAAGATATAATCCATACCAAAGGCTGTGCTCTTTGATCTTCATCAGTAAATATTTTAAATCTTCTTCATTTTCAGCAAGCAAGGTTGTATCATCTGCATATTGCATAATGAGTCTTCCTCCAATCCTGATGCTACATTTTTCTTCATATAATCCAGCTTCTTGAATTATTTGGTCAGCACACAGTTTGAATAAGAATGGTGAGAGAATACAACCCTGTCGCATACTTTTCTTAATTTTAAACCATTCAGTCATATAAACTGTATGTTAATAGTAGTATCATTATTTCATTCATTTGAGACAAAAACAGAGCCAACATGCATGTCCATTTAGATGTCTTTACCCCATAAAGAAATGAAGGGTCCCAGTTGATAAAGACTTGCCTATGGCAACCACAGAGGTCCTTGGTAGTGCCAGCTGGGAGTATTAGACAGTGCCAAGAGGGGGCATGGTACAAAAGAAGAACATTTTCTGCTGGGTCACCCCAAAACCAGGGTTTTGGCTCAAGAGCTGTTCAGACCTTGAACCAGTCACTCAGCCTGAGTTTTGGTTTCCCAACTTGAAAACAACTTGCTATGAAGACCAAAGGTGGAACTGCCACCTTACATAACTTATCATGACACATGCCCTCCAAGTCTTGCTTTAATCAACGACTTCAATCTCCCAATATGTCACTTTCCCCTGCAGAGGGAAACCTGAGGGCTAGAGTTTTCATGACCTTCATTCATTTCTCTTCTTCGGACTGCCAGGCACCGCCAGCATCCCCACCCTCCCCACCTGCAGTCTAATGAGTCATTGGTGAGCAATGGAGTCATGACAAAAAGGAAAAAAGCTACTTGTATAATTGAATTTTCTTTTCCTCAAGTATCAAAAAATTCTTCTTTCCAAGCCATTGTCGTTACAGAACTTTTCCATCTCTACTTGTTACTGGAAAGGAAAGCCAATCTATTTCTAAAGCCAATGAGCTTTCATTTGAGGAAACACACAGCAATTATCTTTGAACTCCTCCTCAATTCCTTCACTAAGTGTCTCACATGGAACATATGCACCAGCTCCTTCTCCTTTCAGCCCACTCCAATGAGGCCAGATCCATCCTGGTGGTCGGGCCAAGACCCATTCCAGGGAGCGTATAATGCCTTCACTTGTAATGGAAACGGATAGTGGTTCAGTCTACTTTATTCTTGTCATCCTTTTGATTTAAGAATTTTAAACAGGAATTATAAAGATCAGTTTGCTACTTAGCTTAACATGAGTTTTTTCAGATAAGAAAGTAGAACCAGAGAAGTCCGATAACTTGCTCGAGACAGCACACAGCTCATTAGGGTCAGACCCCAGTGGGTGAGCTAGTCTTTATTTGTTGTTGTTGAGTGCCACTGAGTCCATTCCAACTCATAGCAAGCCTGCATATGGTTTCTGAGCAGTGGTTGGTGAGTTTGAATCACCAACTTTATTCCTTTGTCTGGTGCCCCTCATACACAATTATATCCAAGGGCCCTCAGCAGTGGTTTGCATGCTGGAGGGAAGGAGGGAGCAGGGAATAGACAAGGGCAGGGACAGCATTCCTGGGACAGTCCCACGCATGACCTAATCTGAATGAACTCCAGGACCAAAGTTATCAAACTAGACATGCCGAGGGGCTCCAAGCTTCTGCATTTATTTCCTAGAAGGCAGTTGGGAAAATGGTAAGAGTAAGAGGGAGGGGAGGGCTATGAAGAGACAGAGAGGTCAAATCAGCAGAAGAAATTGTGAAGAACCTCAACAGGAGTTGTCCCGACAACACTCTGGGGTTAGTATGGAGTTTTAAAAAAGGAATTAGGAAGGAAAAGGAACATTTCTTTTAGCTTATTTTATATTTTGGAAGAGGACAGAAGGGTTGAGGCATTGGCTCTCTGGTGTCTGGAGAGCTAGATTGATGGGACTACCCATGAGGCCATTTACTGCATGAGTTCATGTTCTTGCCTTGTTTGCACATTCAATGGTAAGCTGTCCAGGGTATCAGGAGCTAAGCAAGGCAGGGCGTTTTCTCAGTCACCTGTAAGGGAACCCTGTCTACTTAGGTGAGACGAAGGACCCCCAAATGACTGCATGAGCAGTGTTAGTGGGGTGTGGTGAGACCTGTCCCGCCAGGATTCCATAGTAGAGGAGAAAAGAGTTACACATGAAGATCAATACAAAAGAAGTCAGGCCACTTACTCAAAGTCCCTAGGAAGACAACTGTAGAGTCTGGGAGCCTAACTGAAGGCTAAAAGGGTTTCAGAGGCGGCTGGCTGGAGAGCAGGGGACACATGATAGGGCCAGAGCTGTCTCTCTGAACTGAGCCTTACCTGCCTGCTATCCGTGCTCTGTCTCAACAGAGGACTTTACACACCATGATCCTGGAGTGACCAAGTCCCCTCATTTTGATTCCAGGATCACAGGCACATTTTTGCTTGCTATTTGATGTCTATATGTGAGAATATATGGATTAGATGTGAGAATATCCCATCAACATGTGAGAATATGCAGATTAGAAAACTCCTACTTCTGGACATCTCGACAGTAAACGCCATAGAAATACTCTCACAAATTGGTATGATGCTTAGGTGCTGGGGCCAGATAGACCAGATTTGAATCTGGCCTCAAGTGCTTAAAGGCTTTGGGATGGTGTGCAAATGCTGGACCTCATGATAACTTCATTTCTCATTACAAAGTAAAAAGTAGACCTTCTGATTTTATCTGTCTGCACCCATGACCTCATGCAATGTAACCTACCCTTCTGAGAGGTCATTTCTATCCTGTGTGATGAGTCAGATCTCATGCACATGGCCAGGATTGGGGAAATTCACCAAGGTCATGGGAGGCTAGTCAGTGGAGGCCTTGTCAGTGCCCTTGGCTCCAATATGGGTGATGGGTGATGTATCACAGGCCTTCCCAGCTAGAAAGTCTGAAAAGCCGCCTCAAACACCTACTGTGTTCTTGTAGAAGAAGTACAGCACCATGTTGGCGATTCGAGAGTAACACCAATGTCCATGGACAATTAAGAGTCTCTCCAGGTATCGGAATCTCGGCACTGCAAAGTCACTGGCCATCACCACCTTGATGGGAAGAAGAGCTCAGGTTATTGAGGACCCCTCACCAGGTCTGTCCCACCTCCCTAAGACACAAGCCAGAGAGGAAAGGAGAAATCAGGTTTTGTGCACAGTGTGATTGGTCATGTGGCTTGCTCTACCATGGGCTCTTAGAAAATTAGGATGTTGATTATTGAACCCCAGGGGTGTTCAGTAAAAACTGATGGATTCATTCATTCACTCAGTAATTATTCAATGAATACTTAATATGTGGGGAAAAAAGATGAATCTCAATAAACATTCAAGCTCAGAAACATCACCTTATAGGGTTCATCTAATGTTTCAAATATATGTGACAGATGATATTTGGACAAATTGTTTCCTAAAGTTTCTATCCAGCTCCAAAACTTTGTGACTCAAAGTTAATCAAATGTTGGAAATTGCTTTTAGAACTATATCCAAAAGAAGTTCAGCTTTAATGAAGTTATTTGTTCAATGCCTGGATCATGCGTCAAGCAAATGAAAAAATGCAAAAATGAGGTTCCATGTGAGTCAAGACAGTTACATCTCACTTTCATGGTTGCACCAGGTCCCAACCAAGCTACAAAGAAATCAGTTTTTAAAGTGGTATGGACAGTGTGCCAAAAAGTAAAAAATAACCAAAAACTGCTTTTCAAGGATGGCCAGAATAGCCAGAACGAAGCATCTTGCTTCTCTCTTTGGACCACTATTTCATAAAACCATACTTGCAGACAGAGGCAGACATGTATATAGCATGTTGCTACGTAGTTATGAAAAGCCCCACTCCATCGTCTCCTCTATGATCAGCTTGTTGTTGTTGTTGTGTGCCATGGAGTTGGTTCCAACTCATAGTGATCCTGTACAGGGTTTCTGAGGCTGTAAATCTTTACAGAAGCAGAAAGCCTCATCTTTCTCCTGCAGAACAGCTGGTAGTTTCGAACTGTTGACTTCGCGGTTCGAGCCCGATTCATAACCACTACGCTACCAGAATGTATATGAGCGTCAGTTATGTGTAGGGACCCTCTTTAGCTTACTTCTATAGTGCTCAAAGGGTGGCCAGATGCTTCTTCCTTTGGTGCCACCAATAAAAAAGTGGCCTGAAGGAGCAAGAGGCCAATGAGAGCCTCAGGTCATATTGCAGAGTGCAGCTGATGTTTACCTGCATGCCTTCCTGACCAGCGATGCCAACGCCCACATCTGCCACTTGGAGCATGCTGACATCATTGGCTCCGTCTCCTAGAAACAGCACAGGCAGGCGTGAGGGAGTGGGACTGGGAGACACAGAATCTGACTGACTTCACAGAGGCCTCACAGGGCTGGGTCCTGGGAAAGGGTGAAGGACAGGGCATATCTGTAGTTTAGGGAGTCATAGCAACCATGGTGTAGAGTTTGGAACTGTCAGCCACCAAGAGAGGTGGCCAGTTCTGACCTACCATTCTTGTAGTAGCTCCTCTACGTGGAGACCCACATAGCTACACAACATGGAGCCTGACATAATGGAAGCTACTATCCCCATCTTCCTCAGTCGTACAATTACAGGATGACTCCTGCTTCACCATAGATCGACCAAGGCTCCTCCAACTCAAAATCAGGTGCACGGTTTGTAAACTAAACACAGGAGGTGACATTCTGTCCTGGAAATCGCATAACTCAGTTGCATATCAATGACCAGCCAGATGATTAGCTGTGAGGTCACCTTTGGGTCCTCTGTGGGTGTGCTAAGGGAGAATTTCCGGTTACCCAGGCAAGCTGCTGATAGGAATGGGCATGGGCAAGATTTTTGGCTCTGTTGGCAACAGACAAGCAGATGCATAAAGAAAGTGATATTCAGTGATAGCGATTATTCTTGGAAACATGCAGAATGGCTGCGATCACAGAGCACATGCCAAGGAGTAAAACTGGTGTAAGAGGTAGGTCTACAAAGTTGGAGTGTTTCATAATGTGGTTACCAGATGTCTCCTACCTGTGGCTTTTCTATCCTTTATTGGAGGGGGCCCAGCCTGGGTAATAAGATGAATGAGAATTCTGTGAGGCAACGAAAATCTCTGCAGTGCTTCCCAGCATGTCCCATTCCAAATGAAATACAGTAAGCAGCAACGCTGTGTGCAGGGAAACACTGAGGACACGGTGCTTTAACGCAGGTTCCAAGATGCTCGCTAGAATATTTACAGGCCATTGCTTTCCCTTATTGAAAAGATTCAGTTTTTCTCCCATTTCCTTTTAACCAACCAAGGCTTTACCTCTATTTCTTAACTGAATACCAGGATCCTGTGACTAAGTGGTTGTGTTGTGGCAGGTGCTGTGTAGTGCTGAGAATGTGGTTTATCATTGCGGATGCTGAGATTAGAGGAAAACAGAGATGGTGAGTAGTGCAAAGTAGCCTGCAGAACCCATCCTTGTCAGGAAAACCAGAAGGCCACTCGAGCACTGGAAGCAAAGATGGCTCCAGGAACCCTTTGCTGGGAGGGGCTATTGAGGAGTGGGTGTCTGGCCTCTGTAGACCTTACCAGGAGACCACATCAGAGCATCTGCACCCAGCGACGGGCTCTCCTCAGCATCACATGGCCCCCCAGCAGAGCACTGACAACTCTGCCAAGCACAGGGCTCTTTCCTCACTTTCACTTGGAACTCAGCCCAACACTGGTTCTGCTGGCATACTGAGATGACCATTTTGAGGTGACAACTCCAATTCCAACAGGAAGTGGCTGTCACAGAATTTCTGCAGAAAATACTGGAATTATTAGAGACTGAGGAGCCTTCTTTTCATTGTAAACTCTCACTTAGGTGTGAATTCTATTTGTCAGGAGGTCAGTTGTCCAGTGAGGTAGACAATGGCCAGGACCACTTTCCCCATGCTATCTACAGTCTTCCCAGGTCCTTCTCAGGACGTGGTGCTGCTGAGTCTCGAAGCTTGAACATAAATCAGTTATTGAACTGAGATGGTGTCCTGGGCAAAGGCGCCTGGGGATCATAACCTTACTGCTACACTGGGCTTAGAAAGCCTGCAAGGAAAATCATCCTTAGATACACATTGCTTTGTTGTTGCTCTTTTTGTTAAGTGCCATTGAATTGGTTCCTACTCATAGCAACCCTGCATAGGGTTTGAACCACCGACCTGCAGTTAGCAGTCGAGTGTTTACCCTACCACACCAGGACTCCTTTAAGTGAATGTAAAAGTTAGTAACTATCCATTTCTTAGGATGAATATTTCTAAGATTAATCAAAACACTTAGTAAAGTTCAGCTGGCAAAAGAGAATGTGAATTCTAATCACCATGAAATATGTTGTGATTGTTAAGTGCTGTTGAGTCAGTGCTGACTCATAGCGACCCTGTATAGGGCTTCCAAGGAGCGGCTGGTGGGTTTGAACTGCCAACCTTGTGGTTAGCACCCGAGTGCTCATCCTAAAGCACCACGCCAGGGAATGTGGAAAGATGTGACCATGTTACAGAAAAACAGGCAGAGACAGTGACAGAGAGACAGAAAGACTTCAAGGATGTTAAGCCTCTAGATCCTTGCACCATCATCTAGTCTAGAACTCCAGAAGGCTCAAGGAGACCAGGACTTGGCTGCACAGGGCCATCTGCCTGTCTAATTTGACCTGGTCTCATTTTGTGTGGGCAGTGTCCTGTGCTGCGGTCATGAATATCTGGAAATGGTAGGTTTCTAGTCTCCCTGTTCCTAAGAAACAGTAGAAGCTCTATCTTCCTAAACTAGCATCTTATTACTGACCTCATAAGATGTGCTCTTGAGCTGCTAACCTCAAGCTCAGCAGTTCAAATCCACCAGTTGCTCAGCAGGAGAAAGATGAAACTTTCTCTTCCCAAAAAGATTTACAGCTTCAGAAACACAATACAGGGTCATTAGGAGTTGGAACTGACTCAGCGGCACACAACCATAAACACCACCAAGATGTACGCTGGGTGGTATAAACGGTTAAAGACGTAACTAAACTACCAAAATAGACAGACCTGGTGATCTGCAGCCCAAAGTCCATGTCCTAGACACCCTATGGAACACAGTTCTACTCTGTGCACACAGGGTCACCATCAGTCTAAATCGACTCAGTAGCAACCAACAATGAAAAGATGTACTTGCAACTGTTGTTACTCTGCGTTACATGTGGGATACGCTGCCTGTATGCTCACACTGGGTGTGATTTTACCAACAGAAAATACACAGGCAGCACTTTGCTATTCTCCAGTATAGAGTGGAAGGTCACAGTGAATTCAGAGCAGGCACAGGCACAGTACTTGCCTATTGCCAAGGTCATGGCCTTGAGCTTGCTCCTGACCAGCTTCACCATCATGCTCTTCTGTAAGGGTGTTGAGCGGCAGCACAGGACTGAACGGCACTGCTTGGCCAGGAAGAGGAACTTGTCTTCCAGGCTCTTCTCCAGAGCATAGGCCAGACTCCTCCCATCTATCACAAGGCTAGGTCTGGGGCCAGAGGTGGGTGGCACGGAGAGTTGGCAGAGTGGGGAGAAGGTCTCGCTGACGTTCCCCGAGATCTTCTCTGGAGTGCTGCCGGAGTCTCTGGATTGTACATATTGTAGACACTGGTTCAACAGGGCGGCACAGGCTTCCTGAAAAGACATGAGGGAGCCATGCACCTCCAGACCCCAGGCTATGCCACAACCAACTTAACACATCTTTAAATGCTAATTCTTTAACCAGCTGCAACTCCTGCTGCCCTCCCTCCTGAGTTGAAGAGGACTGTAGAAGAGAACAGGCTGGCCTAGGTGTCTGCAAGAAGCCTCCATCTTGCCTTTTGGCAGAGGCCTGACCATGGCACGGCTGAACTGCTGAACTGCTGAAGCTTTCCCACAGCTGAACTTCTCTACAGAGCTCCGAGGCCCTTATTCAGTCTTTTGTGCTTACAACTGAGATAGAGTGCAGGTAATTATTTATTATGAACTTTCTAGCCATGTTTTTCCAGTCTGTGATGCATTTGTTGCTCTTATTGTTGTTAAATGCTGCTAAGTGGGTTCAGACTCATAGCGACCCTGTACCGGGATTCTGAGAAGCAGTTGATCGGTTTGAACTGCTGACCTTGCAATCCAGTGCCTATACTATAGTGTTGACCCATTTTGAAGTGAGTTGCCAGTGAAGTAGGCTTAAAGCTCAACTACAGATTAAGGGTGCTATGACCTTACAAGAGGGTGTGACTGAAGTCATCACCCTTAGTTTTCCTCAGGGACATAGTGTGAGTCCAATTTACAGGACTACTTTGGCCAAGTTCGCTCTCTTGCCCTGAATCTTGCATCTGGTTCACTAAGTCTGACCTCCAGTTTGTGGGACTTTCAGCCTATCACCCAACCTGATTCACCAGCTCTCACAGCCTCAGGTCTGACATGACTACCTGGGCTCCTCAGAGCCTCCTGAGATTCTGTAGGTGGGAAGAATCCTCCAGCTGATCTCTGAACTATGATTTGGGACATGTCAACCTCCACAACTGAGTGAACCATTTCCCTTTGAAAGTCATGAGTTCTTTGAGATGTTTCAGCATATTAAAGAACCCCAAGTCACGTGGAAGAATTTCCTGAGTTCCAACTTGTTGGTTGCTATAGCATCATGACATATCTTCTGGATCCTCAGGAAGTTCTGAGCTTCATGATGAAGAGGCACAAATGTTCTGGGAACTTCTGTTATGATTATACACGTCACACGCACACACATTGGAATATACCCATGTGCATAGGCCCACTCACAATGCATTCCCATGCACCCATATGCACACAAGTGAAGGAAGGAAGAGAGGACACAGTAGGAGACTTTAAGATTCACCAGTGCATGTTTGATTCTCTGGACTAAAGGCAATTTTGGTGTTCCGCTGTGCTAGACTTTACATGCTGATGGCTTATGTATTCATTTATTAAAGTCATATTTCACTGTCCTAAACAAACAAACAAACAAATGAAAAATCTCTGGGAGGTGGTGGAGGTGATGTGTGGTGACTGATATGAAGGATTCTGGAGTGGTGTAACAATGTTGGAAAAGACTGACATTAGGGATATCTTTAACCTCCACCTCATAGAGACCTGTCTTGGACTGATCTTTCTAAAAGAAATTATTCTTGCAGATGCCAATAGAGCACAAAGCTCTTTAATATCTGTAATTATGACTCTCCTTTAAAGAAATGTAATTATTCTTCTTCTCCATGAACTCTCCAGTTCCATCAGGAAAATGAAGAAAAAAAAAAAAAGTGAAATAAAGGCATAATTACTAAGGCTTTTAATTGGCATGCTACTCCAAAGCTCATTACTGGAGCTGAATCCCAGAAAGAGCAGGAAAGTTTTCAGAGTCACTCACAAGAGGAATAAGGTCAGGGCAAGAGGCACAGGAAGGATGGTTGTTACAAGACAGAGTATGTTTAAGAAACAAACACACTAAGAGGGCTTCCAGCAAGATGACAGATGATGCACAATGCAGACCCTCTTACAACAAAGATATGAGAGAACAAACGGAACAGATACAGATGGAAATACTGGAATCTGGAATTTCAGAGGAAAGGTTAGAAAAGCTTATCGAGTGCTTGTTGGGAGGAGAAGCTGAGCAGGTATGGTGAGAGAGGGGGACTGAGTGGTCAACAGTCAGCTGGCCAAACATGGTGCCACTACCTTGAACTTTTATGAGCAGCTTTGGTGACAAAATGGCCTGACAGAACAGATTCACATAAGCAATGAATGGGGCAGGTGTGATTCCTTTTTTCTCCCCTACGATCTCCTGGTGACCAGAGGTGTGGTCAGCTCCTACCACTCTTGTCCACCTCTAGAACAGACCCTGTGTGAAGCTGGTGCTGGCTTTACCACTTTGGTGACTGGATTCGGCAGGTGTGGTTCCAGACCTACAGAATCCGCAAGGCCACCAGACCAACGTAAGTCTAGCAGAAGCCCTCATAACTAGCCATCCTGCCCCCAGCTGCTCTGTGGTCCTAATAGACATTGAAACTAGATCCATGCAACAAGAGCCTCCATGAAGTACTTCTAATTGAGTGTCCTAGGCCTATAGGAACTCCATCTATGGCCAAGAACTCCATGACCCTCTTGCACCTACCTCATGAGCTCCTTGGCTGGCAGGAGCTCACCCCACCCCAATTTTTCTCCTCTCCAGGTCAAATAGCTGCACTCACTTTTTTTTGTTTGTTTATTTTAGAGTTTATTTTTCTTTCAAATAGATAAAAATCAAAGTATGGAACAAATATATCACGCTAATAGCAATAAAAAAGCAAGTAGGAGTGGCAATTTTAATCTTTGATAAAATAGACTTCAAGGCAAAAATCAGGCTAAGAGACAAAGAAGGACATTGTATCACAAGTAAGGGTCAACTGAATAAGAGAACATAACTGTAATAAATATCTATGCCTCAAAATACATCAATCAAACTCTAAAAGAACTGAAGAAAGAGATAATTCTACAAAAATAGCAAGTGATTTTAATATACCAGTTTTGATGAAGGACAGAACTAGAAAGATATTTAACAAAGACACAGACCTGAACAACACAATCAATGAACTTAATACTCACAGACATACACAGAATACTCAGCCCAACTACAAGCACAGTATACATTCTTTCCCAGTATACATGAAACACTGCTCAGAATAGACCATATGTAAGGCAATATCAATAAATTTTAAAAAGTCAGAATATTATGAAATCAACAATAGGAAGATCATAGAAAAAAAAA